GCCATTGTTAAGAATAGAATAGTATGGCCAGGCTTGGTGGTGCATGCCTTTAATTCTAGCACTTGGAAGGCAAAGGCAGCTGGATCTCTGTGAGCTCAAGGCCAGCTTGGTCTACAAATCAAGTTCCAGACATCCAGGGCTGTTACACAGAGAAACCCTCTCGAAAAACAAAACAAACAAAACAAAAAGAATGAAATAGTATATTTCCTGAGGTCTATCACATATCACTATAAAGATAGATTTTTTTTTATTCAGTGGCTCATTGACCATCATTAGACAGGTCTTAGAAATACACTAATACATTATAGGTTTTTTTGCATATTCTGACTATCATTTAATATCTCTTTGCCATCTCTCTATGTTAGCATTTATAAAGCTTATTTCATTCTTAGGATTGGCCACAGACAATTCTGTGTTATAGAGATATCATAATTCACTTAAATGAATTATCTGGGTTTGTTTTGTTTCACCATACCAAAGTTTCAGTGGCTATTTTAAAAATACACCTGTATATAGATACAGTTGGAAACCAGTGTACTTAAACAATTCAAGAAGTAATGGGCCAGCCCCATGGCTCAGCAGGCACAAGACTTGCTGCCAAGCCTGACAACCTGAGTTCAATCCCCAGCAATATACCTATACGGTAGAAGGTGAGAACTATCACAAGTTGTCCTTTAATGTTCATGTGTGCTCATACATATACCTACACAAATATATGTTTATGTATATATACATATGTATATGTATATATATATAACTTTTAAACATTTTAAAGAAGCAATGGAATGGTACTATTTGATTGTATCTCATTCTTGTTAGCACCTCAACTCACTATGGGAGTAGGCCAATTTTTCAACAAATGGCATTTCAAAAATTTCACTAATCCTTTTAGTTCTTAAACATAAGTGTATTCTTATATAATTTGAGACTATTGTCCTACAGATGACCCTCCAACATGTTCTTCTATGAATCACTGAATGAAAGTAACAATTCTTTGAGCAGTATATACCTTTTCAGAGTACAAGGCACTTTCACATATGATCTCCTCTGTTTCTCACATTGCTGTGATGCACATAGGATGTTTTTATAGGATAAAAATGGTGCTGACTTGGAAATTCACGATGCTCGAGGTAACTATTTAGAGAGTAGACCCTTTGTTCTGCTAACTCTGGACTACTGGTCTGAAAGGAGTGCTATATCATCCTGGTGCCTTAATGTGAAGAGTACTCATGTGTCACTCCAATAATTGAAGTTGCTAATTTGCTATCCAGTCTTCAGGCATTTATATTTAATTATTTGATATCTAGAGATTAGACTCACCAGGCGTTTATTAGCAAAGTGCCTGAGTAATTGTCGCTCTCCTGAATAAAGCATTTAAAAGACGTTTTGCAGTAGCTGTTAATGGCTGGTGAGTTTCAATCCTTCTTTTCCTCATTTGGAATTGGAAGACGGGGAGGAATGGTGGGAAAGATCACAGGATGTAGCACCAGCCAAGGGGCCTGAAATTAGAAATTCCTATCCCCACACAGCATTACTTCTTATCCCAAGGAACTTCCCTTTACAAAGAGCCTGCAATGGTTGGCGTATTCTTCCTTCATTCCCCACAGTCCCCAGAGGAAGCAAGAGCCTGCTCAGGGAGAGGAAATCATTGTTTTGCTGTCTTCCCCTTTGGGAAAGGAAGCATATGAATGATATCATTGTTGCCATAGCTGCATCTTTAAGTTGGCTCATTAACAGACCTAACTCCACCCTTGGTTGAAACCGAGAAGGTACTTCTGAACTTCCTCTTCCATGCATCTACTGTAACAAGGGCCTCAACAATCAGTTCTGAAATCTCCCAGGACCCTGTCTCCTATTGAAATCATTGAATGTTAAACATGTCAGTAATTTTTAATCAACTATGACTTTGCTGAGTAGTTACACTAATACTTAAACAAAATCTGAAACTCCAGTGCTCTGTTCTCATCTATCACCAAGGTTACAGGAGCGTGGTCTGCCCTCATCCCACCTGCCCATCAGGTCACAGCACACTTGGCTGTCAAGTCAAACTGTCTCTTCCTTACCTACGCAATTGCTAGCACCTTACCACTTCTCTGCTTTTTTATAGTGTTGCTTTCCCCTTAAGCAAATTACATCTGGGTCTGTTTTGTTTCACCACACCAAAGTTTTGTTTTTTGCACGTCTGAATTCTAATCAATTTGAAGAACAGGCCCTCAAGTCGTACAAAAGCCTTCCCTGATATGACATCCTACTGTATGTGTGCCTTCTCACACTCTCCTTCTGATGTCTTTCCTTTTCAATTTGTAGTTGAATCACCAAATGAGTATGCTTGAGAATCAAGCTTTTTAAATCTCTTTTGGTTTTTTTTGAGACAGAGTTATTCTATGTACCATTCCCATGTACTGCTAGAGCTAACTCTTACTGTCAGTGGTCTATAGACTTGGTATATAGTAAATAAAATCCAACTTCCCTCATCTGTACATTTCCCCATGTGGTTCAGAGGCAAAGTTTTAGGGATGGGAGCATGGGAAAGACATACTCTGCTTATGCCTACTGTGATTATCTCAAACTCCATACCATCACTGTACTTAAAAGCTTGATTCTTACCTGGACATGGTGGCGCACGCCTTTAATCCCAGCAGTCTGGAGGCAGAGGCAGGTGGATCTCTGTGAGTCTGAGGCCAGTCTGGTCTAGAGAGCTAGTTCTAGGATAGCTAAGGCTACATAGAGAAACCCCATCTCAAAATAAATAAACAAATAAATAAGTTACAAGAAGTAATTCGTATCTTGAGAGTAAGCATTTCCTATGACAATTTTATCTCACATAAAACTTGCCTCATTCCATGGCCCACCTTATCTAACTTAACATTTAAAGTTTCACATTGCATGTTAATGTTTAATGTGTTGATCATAAACCCCTCAAGGATGAGAACATGATGAGAGTGACTTGCACCTCTCCTGGCTCTTAGTATAATTCTGAGTATAGCACAAGATGCTACGTCATCTTCCAAAACTAGTTTTTGAGCTCCAATTCAATAGGCTTTAAGTAAGAAATGGTAAAGCAATGTAATTTACAGAAAGAAATAAAATCCATTCTATGTAGTTTGAAAAAGGAGAGTTAAATGAAATGACCACACAAATATGCCTAGGCAAGGTTAAGAACACAAAAAATTCATTGTAAGCTACTCAAGGGCAGGCCATAAAAGGAGAACCCTAATTTTACCTGGAGTTGAAGGAAAGCAAAGAAAATAGAACCCAGGGGGGTACAGTGGTGCACACCTGTAATCACAGCCCTCAGGAGACAGGCAGGAGGAGGGCCATGGCTTCTTGGCCCCTGTATTAAAAATAGAAAACAACAAAACTCCAGAGAAACAGAGAAAAGACATAACTCGAGGAAGAAAGAAGACACTGGAGTCAGAAGGACCCAGTGAGTGCTGGCATGAAGTGGAATGGAAGAATGGCCTGGCTGCTGGGGGAAATGGGTGCCAAAGTCAGAGCTTGGGGAAATCTCATCTGCACCTTGAGACGGCCCATGCACTCCTGCTCAAAAACAGCTCTAGTGGCTGAGCCAGCAAATTTCAGCTTCAGAACATGGGGAGCAGGAAAGAAAAGGTGGAGGAGAATACAAGTAGGATGACATGGGCAGGGCTGGGCAGAATTGGAAAGGTAGCTGGCGCAGCGTCTGTGATAAACAGAGACAAAAAAGGGCGGAATCATTATGGAACAGGAGATGCCAGGAAACCCAAAAGTCATGTGAGTGAACTAAAGTCTAACAGCGGAATTTAGATCTTAACATGATGTTGATTTTCTTCACTAAATCTCTCTGAATATGGAGGATGAATGTCCTGCTTTGGTCAAAGATTTGTTTTCCAACAATAAGCCTGGAAATGAATATGCATACCAATCGCTCCAACACAATGAATAAGGTCCAATGATGGGCATAACTGTCACCATACCTGGATGTGGGGGCTACCCACCTACTGAGCACCTCCATTTTAGGTTTGTTTTTAAGTTGTTGGTTTTTCTTTTTCTTTTTCTTTTTTTAGTTTGGGTTCTGTAAATATTTATTTACTAATTTCATTTAGTAAATTTAAATATTATTTAGTAGAAAAGAGAAGAAATATTTATTTCTGTGGGAAAGGATAGTTACTAGAAACATCAAACCATTCTCCTTATGTTTAAATTTTACTTTAAATTTAGCTTATTATTTGTCACTATAGCTTCATGCCATTGGTGACCATATAGGGGGCAGTAAATAGTCACATAAATGGAATCACAGGACTAAAGACACAAAGGCCTTGTAATCTACTGTGTTCTCAAAAAATTAAACAGGCCCTCCCAGGAAAATTCTCTTTGTCAGGCAGCTTGTATGGCAGAGCCAGACCAGGAAAATCAGCATCCAAACTCAGTTACCCAAAGTTCTAGAAATGCCTGATTTATTTCTTACTAAGTTGACAAAGAAGAGAGTGGTTAAAGTCAAACTTATGGAATTAGGCAGATTGAGGCTCAAATCTAGCTGGCCCTTAGACCAATGATAATTCCCTCTTGATACTCCATTTCTTCCCTTGTAAACAGAGATGATTAAACTGGAGGTGGGAATGAAAAAAAAATGTTCAACTACTTTGTACAGCAGCTTGGCAGTTTCTTGAAAAGCTAAGCATACATCTACATGTGATCTGCCATTTCACTTGCAGTATCACATAAAAGACAATAAAATACATATTCCTACAAAGACACATACACGAATGAGCAGTGTTGTCTATAATAATTCCAAACTCTAAGTCACTAGCTGCTCACCCACAGATTAACAGATAAACAAGACGTGGCAAACCCATACAACAGAAAAGTTAATTCAAATGTGCAATAGTATGAATGGATCCTAACCATTACGCTGTGTGAAACAAAACTCTAGAGGATGCAATTTAACCCACAGAGAAAGAAAGTAGACAGTGTTTATCTGGGGATGAGGTACTTTAAAATAAACAAAATTAAATACGAGGTGATTACATAACATCTATTCTGTTAGGAAAATACACATAAAATGTTTAGCATAATGTTTGGCATGTTGTAGCCATCCAATAAATCCAAGGTACAGCAGGCTGATTACAATATTGTTTTACTTTTCTTTTGGGAAACTAAAGAAGCTAGTATCAGAGAGGCACGATGCAGGGAGCATCAAACCAAGAAGAGCACCTTTATGTCAAGCGGAAGAGTCAAAGCAGAAAGTCCGGGAAGCTGCAGGGAAGAACAGAGGTGGAGAAGGTTACAAAGAAGATACCAGAATAAAGGAATCATTTTCTCTCTCCATCTTCACTAAAGCAGCATGGGTTTTACTTTCAAATTACATACGTTATAAAATTAATACCTTTTCAGCAGTTTTACAGATAAATTTCCATTTGACTCACAGAAACTGATATTATTGTACTCAATAAAAAGCTGAAGGCATCTGAAAATCACTAAGTACTTTATAGCACCAAGGGGATCTATGTCTTATGATTAAATAGTAAGAGATACTCACGACCTACTTAATACACTGGAAGAAAAGGAATTGCATAACTGTTATATCTTGGTTTAAATATATATATGATAAACCAGCAAGTGCTGCCAGGCGGTGGTGGTGCAGACTGAGGTGGCACACGCCTTTAATCCCAGCAGTCGGGAGGCAGAGGCAGGTGGATCTCTGTGAGTTCGAGACCAGCCTGCTCTACAAGAGCTAGTTCCAGGACAGCCTCCAAAGCCACAGAGAAACCCTGTTTCGCACCCCCCCCAAAAAAATCCCCAAAATCAGCAAGTGCTTTACAAGCTGTTAGGGCAGACTCTCCAGTGGGCGGAGACATCGCCTACCTGAATTCTAAGAGAAGAAATGCATGGATGGCTGTGGAGGCTTGCAGATAGCACTGCAGAGTGCTGGGTAAACCAGCTGAACCTGTAATTAAAGGACGGGGTCACTGAAAAATATGCAAGCAACCTTAGCATGTGAGAAGTTTATACTGAAATACCATGAGCACTTGGGGAAATAATGACCATTATATTTAAGGAAGAGCCAGTCGACGAAATGTGTGAGTGTAAGACTTTCCCAACTTCAGCACTCCGAGAGCGGAAGCAGGAGAGTCAAGATCATCTTTAGCTACACAGTAAGCTCAAGGTCAGCCCGGGCTACAGGAAACTCTGTCTCAAACAAAACAAAACAAGTCCTCGTATGAAAAGGTATTTCCTAGTGCTAAACATGACATTTCAAAAACGATGTCATCATTGGAGTGACAATATTTAAACAATATGGGAAGGAAACTGGATTTATACACATAAAAAAGCTTAATTAATGAAGAACTACAGAAAGTAGAGTTCAGAGGTTCCTCTCTGCTGGGACATGTGGATTTAATACTTCTGCTTATAATCCAGGAGATAGAACTCCAGGTATGGGGTTTAGTGCTGGCCATCAACAACCGGGTATCTCTGTGAGCAATTACCTAGATTAGGATAGCCTCTGGGTACCCCTGAGAGGACTGTCTGGTTTAGGATAACCAAGGTGGGAGGACCCACCTTAACTGTGAGTGGTGCCTTCTCACTGACAGGGGTCCTGGAGGGAATAAAAAGGATGAAATAAGATGAACATTGGCATTCATCTTTTCTGCTTCCTGACTACGGATGGGATGTGCGCAGCTGCATGCCGCCGTGACTTCCCTGACAGGATGCACTACATCCTTGGACTCTGATCAAAATAAATCCTTCTTTTCCTTAATGTGATTCTTATCAGATATTTTGTCTTAGCAACAAGTAACTAATCCACCAAGTTTGCCCTTGATCTTGAGTTCCTTCAAATAGAAAATGCCAACAACAGTAATGAAGGGTGGGGGGGCATTGATTTGGGTAGGTAGCTCTGGAGTGTTGACCCCTTTCTCAGGCAAGAAGACCTCAGAGATGCTTTAGCTACAGGGCTACCATAGTGGAGTGGAAGACTCCATGAAGTTGAAGACTCAATGCTCATTCATTTTCAACTAGGTATGCAGAGGGCTAAGGATAGAAGTGGCCCATTTTCTCGCTGGATCTATACTGGAGGATGTTTCGTTGTTCTAAAGAAGTCTTCCTGTGGGAGTTGGGTGGGCAGAGCTATGAATATAGACTTTCTCCTTGAGGGTGGCTGTTTTGTGAGGATTGGCTAAAAATCTTAGGTGACCTAATAAACTGAGAAAGGGTCTCCCCATGTAGCTTTCACTAGCCTCAAATCTGCTATACAGACCAGATTAATCACCCACCAGCCTCCTGAGTGCTGGGATTACAGGCTACCTCCTAATATACTAGTAAACAGTCTCTTAACTTCTGTGCAATCTTTGAAGCTGATTTTGAGGTCTGCAAAGGCCTTTGGAGGGTGACACAGCTTGTGTGAAGGGAAGTGAATTCTTAACAGGCTAGGAATTTACCTCAGCACCCATGTGATACATAAATAGAAGACTAGAATGTGGTAGAGCAGTGAATTCAAATACCAAGAAAGATGCATAAAAGGCTTTGTTTGGGTGTTACAGACCCTTCACTTTGCTTCCCCTCTGTGTCTGAGATCACAGAGCTGCTGTGGATGCCTCTGCAGAAAAAGCCCACGAGGTCTGGAGGCTTCAAAGGAGAAGAATGCATTTGGGAAGCATTTAAAAGGTCTGTTTCCTGCCTCTCTAACAGTTCCTTTTGTTTTGAGGTAGTGGGGCTGGAGTCTAGGTCATCTCACATGATAGACAAGTTCTAGACCACTTGGCTACCCTCTTGACACTATCACTTGCTCTAAACAGGCGTGCATAGAAAACAGTTTTCACAAGAGTAAAAAATAACAAAACCATACCAGAAAATGTATTTTCAAATATAAAGAGCTAGTGCATAAACGTCCAGGGCTTACACATCACTTAATTATTTTAGTGAGCCCCGTGGGTACCATTATTAGGCACATATTAGGATCTCAGAAACCGAGGGTCACAGATATTAAATAATTTACTCAGTGCTACCTGACTCAACCATGTTGATTCAAACTCAAAATATCTGCCAGTCTCCAGTTTGTTTGTTTGTCTGAGATAGTTTCTCTGTGTTAACAGCTCTGGCTGGCCTGGAACTTGCTCTGTAGACCAGGCTGGCCTTGAACCCACAGTGATCTGCTTGCCTCTGCCTCCCAAGTGCTGAGATTGAAGGCATGTGTCACCACCACCAGGCCTCCATGTTCTTAATGTCCCTGTTTGATGTAACAATCTTGAAGTTCATGCAGGTATTTGAATGTGATTTTATTAAAATAACAAAAGGCAGTTCCATTAAAATACCCTTTCATCTTCATCACCATCTCCAATTTAATAATATTTGCATCTTATTCTTTACTCGGCACACCTTGATCTTGCTAGTACAACATCCACAATTACAGACTGTAAAAACTATTCATGTGTTGAGGCCGGTGATTTCACATAAATTTGTCTTGTGGTGCCTATTCTATTGCATTTTTGAGTAGGTTATAAATCTTGTTAAAATCAATAAAAACATAATTTCGAATGTTTCAAAAGCAATCTCCTATGCCACGAAGTCTCACATCCTTTCTGTTCTCCTCCCTTCTTGTCCAGTACAGGAAGGATTCTGATAAAAATACTTATACTTTTAAAGACAATAATTAGAAAAGTAATACACCATCATCTGAAAGAATTTAAAATATATATAAAGATATTCCATTATCTCAAGATTAAATGATGAACATTTTAATTTTCTTCCTTTAAATGTTTGAAATTAAAATGTTAACTGCTTTATTTTAAAGTGTGGTATAGGAATTTCAAGAAGTTAAAAATTACACATACATATTCATCTAAGATATGTTAAAATTTCAAATGTGCTTTTACTAAATTTAATGCAATTCTCCATAGTAATTCTGAAATGTTATTAACAATGAAAACTTTATTAATTTATTGAGTTGAAAAATATACTGAGAATTATATACTGAAGTTTTAATGTTTATATATTTAACTCGACTTTTGTTTACAATAATAGTCACTGTATAATGATAAAATTATATATAAAAAGTTTTTTTTTTTTTTTGGTTTTTCCAGACAGGGTTTCTCTGTGGCTTTCGAGGCTGTCCTGGAACTCGCTTGGCAGTCCAGACTGGTCTCGAACTCACAGAGATCCACCTGCCTCTGCCTCCCGAGTGCTGGGATTAAAGGCGTGCGCCACCAACACCCGGTTTACATATAAAAAGTTTAAAAAAATATATGACATTCTTTGAATGCTTCCATGTGCCAGGCACTATTCTCAGGATTTTGCCGGTACTTATTTACTAACTCTTTCCAACAATGGCATAAGGCAGAGACTATTATTTATCATGCCTTTTGTAAAAATGTAGACTTCAAGAGGCTTATTTAATTGGAGGGTTGATTTACCAAGGCAAAGAATAATGGTGAACTAAGATGGCTTTTGTATGTTCACTGGATTATTGTAATGATCTGAGTGCTTTGTGTAAGAATGGACCCCATAGGCTCGTATATTTGAATGCTTAGTCATCAGGGAGTAGTGCTATTTGAAAGGATTAGAAGGATTTGAAAGTGTGGCCTTGTTGGAGGAAGTGTGTCACTGGAGGTGGACTTTGAGGCTTCAAAGGTCCACCCAAGGCCAGTGACTCCCCACTTACCTGTGCCTGCTCAGCCTTTACTCCAGTGCCATATGTGCCATCATGCTTCCTGTCGTGATGATAATGGACTAACCCTCAGGAAACATAAGCATGCCCCCAATTAAATGCTTCCTTTTATAAGAGTTGCTCTGGTCACGGTGTCTCTTTCCAGCATTAGAACAGTGACTAAGACAGTGGGTAAATGAAACTGATAATTAGAACTTTGTCCTGGAAAGAAAGTATTGGGACACAGAATGAATAGATAGCTTTATTTCAGACAAGTGTAAAAGGAGTTCTTAATTGGTCTAGATAATAAAAGGTCAGAGTCAGATATAGAGGGAAATGTTAAAAGATTTGAGAGAAGGAGCAAGCCACAGCACACCTTACCTCCTAAGCATCTCCGCAGAGAAGAGAGCAATTTCCTGTTCATCTCTGCTTATATACTGTTACTGCCCAGCTATGTAACTTCCTGCCTGTCTGTATAGACCTCCAGACCTCTATGGTTAGCTAGTGGCAAGCTCCATTCTTTGATCCCCCGGACAGACATTATTTGTGCAAGAAAGATACCACCACAGAGAAGGATAGCCTCAGATGATGTTCTTGTGGATCGAGAACGAGGATGAGGTCTTGAACCGACAGGGCATGTTGGTCAATCAGTATAAAAGACATATAGTTGGTAAATAGCAGAGCTACTATCTAAGTCCAGGGAGGGCATCACCAAAGCCTACACTTTACCACTACCCAGACTGCCCTAAGAAGTACAAAGAAAAAGGCATTGCAAAGTGTAAAGGGAGGCTTTTCTTTTGAGAGAAGCCTTCCCGCCAGCCTGGTTCTAGAGCCGCATCAGTCCCAAATAAACACACAGGAGGCTATATTAATTATGAAGCTGTTGGCCTTGCTTGTTTCTTACTGGCTAGCTCTGACTTAAGTAATTACCCCATAATTGTTAATCTAAGTATGTCTCTTACCAGAGAAGTTTCCAGGCTTCCTACCCCATGGCATTACATCTTGACTCCTGTGTTTCTCCTTCCCAGAGTTCTCCTGGACTCCTAGTCCCACCAATCTAGATTCCTATTGGCCAGCAGTACTTGATTGACAAATGCACAGGACTTTCCCCCAATAGCAAAGCAAGTAAAAGTCCTCCTGCTCCACAGCCCAGTGCTAACAGCTGCCATTATATTGATACACATCTTTTGAAACCCTCTTTTCACGCAGGGTTTCCATGAAGTCAGTAAGCTTTGGTAGACTGGTATGTGGTCCTCATGGAACACGAAACCATAGAAGACATGTGAAGAACCACTTCAAGGGCATTTCTTACTTGCCTCCTGGTGTTTTTAAAAAGTGTGTAAGACCATCTCTTGTCTCCTGGAATCTGAGGAGGTTTCCATGAGCGTTTTCCTTTTCACTCATAAAACAAGTATTTGAACTCCAAAATTGGGTCAAATTTCACATACTACAGGGATGATCCTCCACAAGATTGCCCTCATTACAGGTACTGGTTCCAAGATCAGGAGTTCCCAGACAAAACACATTTCTGGCTAACTATCTGCAAATTTAAGGATTTCCATCATAATTCACTGGAATGATTTAGAGAATTAAGGAAAGTTTGTACTCAAGATTATAGTTTTATTATAAAAGGTACAAATCAGGCCCAGTGAGAAGCTTATCTGGTAGAAAGCACCATGGAAATGTGGAAGGACAAAACCAATTCCACAAAATTGTCCTTTATTCTTTATACATGCACTGAGACACACGTGTGCCAACACACCCACACACACCCACACACCCACCCACCCACACACCCAAATACCCTCCACACACATCAGAGGCAGGCATTTGAAGAGATGCATACATCAAGGCATGTAAGGCTCTCCAAAATGAAGTACCCGTGTACTGCTTCCCAGAACATTACTGTCTGTTTTCTACCCCCTACTAGCACAACACATTCTCCACCCAAACATGACCATCTGTGTTCTCCACACATGACCATCTGTGTTCTCTACATATCACCATCTGTGTTCTCCACATCATCATCTGAGTCCTCCACACATGACCATCTGTGTTCTCCACACATCACCATCTGTGTTCTCCACATTACCATCTGTGTTCTCATTGTCTGGAATTTTTATTTGGAATACTACATAGTGATTACTGATGGATCATGTGACCCCAAACCCATTTTATCAGTTAATTCTTTTTTGTTTGTTTGTTTGGTTTTTTTTTTTTGTTTTTTTGTTTTACGAGACAGGGTTTCTCTGTATTGTTTTGGAGGCTGCCGGTCCAGCCTGGACTGGAACTCACAGAGATCTGCCTGCCTCTGCCTCCTGAGTGCTCGGATTAAAGGTGTGCGCCACCACCGCCCGGCTTATCAGTTAATTCTTGGCTCTGTGACCAAACACCTGAAAGGGAAGCAACTTTAAAGAATGAAATACTCATCTTAGCTCATGGTTTGGGAGGTACAGTTCATGAGCAGGGCAGGTACGGTGGCAAACAGCTCTGTATCAGTAGAAGCTTGCAGCAGCTGTGTACTCCGTCATCTCTGGGTGGACCGTGAAGACTGGGGTGCATCTGGAGATAAAACCTGAAAGATTGCCCCATAGTGATCCACATCCTGGAGCTGGGCCACACCTCCTAAAAGTCCCATAACCTCACCAAACAGTACCACTGCCATCCTTGGGCTCCACAGCCTCATGGTCATCTCATAACGTAAAATGTAAAACTTCCAAAGTATTACAGTCTTCCAGTTCTGATGTTGTCCAAAGTCCCTTCTTAGACACAAATTGCAGGCTCAGCTCCAAGTACCTGTAGGATCAAAGTTTCATGCTTTTCAATAAACATGAGCACAGAGTAAATATTCAGGTTTCGAAAGAAATGTGGACACAGCAAAGAAAGCAGACCGAAGCAGGACCAGCCTCACCAGGACAGACATCAGACCCTGCAGCTCCGCGTCAGGCTTCTGGGGCTCACCGTGAAATGTCTATGCTCTAACAAGTTTGGGTAAGCCCTCTCCAGACGAGCCTGCAGCACAAGTGGCCTCTCTCCTGGATAGCCTGGATTTTTTGAAATCTCCAGTGCGCTGGGTCTCAATTACAATTTGGGTTTGCACTTCACAGCTTCACACTCAGGCGCTCCTTACAGGGAGCCCTGCTACATAATTGTTGGGCTTTGGTGGTTTTGTGAAACCTTGGTAAAAGCTTCTATGATCCCTTCCCTCTTGCAATTTGCATGATTGCATAACTAACATATGTGACTAGTACCAAATACTGCTACTAGCTGTAGCCTAGCTCTACTGGATCACAGATATAGAGGCCTCTTTCCAGGGGAAGACATAAACAATGTCTACCTCTTCTACAACAACAAACCAAGGCATGATTCCACCAATTCACTCTGGGCATCCTAAGTTTATCAGGCCTCCTTAGAGAGCACAGATGAGAAGTTACTTAGAGGGGTGTGAGTGGTCCTTCCCCAACGAGCC